GTTGTCATTGTTGCTTTTGCTTTAGCTGGCCCTGGGCCAGGTTTGAACCTGCCAACCTGCCAGCACCCTACCCACTGAGCCACAGGTGCTGCCTGCATGATTATTTTGAACTCTTCTATGGTTACAATATTTTAGTGGCACATTCCTTTTTGTTGCTGGTAGTATTCCTTTATTTGGCTATACCACATCTGATCAACTATTGACTTGAATTTGTACTGTTTCAGTTTGCAACTATTATAAATAAGACTACTATCAACATTTGTGTACTAGTCTTTACGTGAGCATTTTTACTTAACGGGTGAAAGGCTATATTGTGTGGTATACGTGTATTTAACTTGATAAGTAACTACTAAACAGGTTTCTTTTCTTATTGATTTGCTTAAATTCTTTGTAGGTTTTACAGGGAAGTTAATAAAAGGGAATAGTTGCAAAGTGAGAAGAAGGAGAAACAGAGGAGTGTGAGTAACTCAGAGATTAGCACTGCAGGAGACCTGAGCCTGTTCAGTAGGACTGGGACTCGTAGAGGAGAGGTTCCCTGGCAGGACAGTCCCCTGACAGTGTCTCTCACTGTGTGAGCCCACCGTTGTTAGCCCCTTGTCAGATTTGTAGCACACAGATACCTTCTTCTATTCTGCTGGACGTCTCCTTGCTCTGTTGACTGTGTCCTTAGCTGTACAGGAAGGGAATGAAGTTCCAGTATGCATTGCAACATTAATGAACCTGAACTTACTGTGCTAAGTGAAGTAAGCCAGACCTAAAACGATAGTGTGATTCTTCTCATGAAATATTTAGAATAGGGAAATTCATAGACACAAAAATGGTAAATTAGTTGCCAGGAGCTGATAGAAAGAGAAATGGGAAATTACTGTTTAGTGGTTATAGAGTGTCTGTTTGGAGTGATGAAAAGTTTTAGAAGTAGTAGTGATGATTGTACAACATTGTGAATATAATAATTAATGCCACTGAATTATATACTTAAAACTGGTTGAAATGGCAGATTTAGCGTTTTATATATATATATAGGTCCATAAGTTTTAAAGATTAATAATGTAGCAAAACCATTGAATTGGATACTTTAAATTGGTGAATTATATGGTACATGAATTATATCTCATAAAGCTATTTTTTTTTTGTGCTTGTTTAAAGCAAACGAGTAGGACGGCACCTGTGGCTCAAAGGAGTGGGGTGCTGGCCCCATATACCAGAGGTGGTGGGTTCAAACTGAGCCCGGCAAAAAAAGAAAAAAAAGATAAAAAAATAAATAAAACAATGAGTAAAAAATGTGCCCTTTCCCCCTTCTTTTGTAGGTTTGTCCTTTCTCTTTTAAATTATGGGGACTATACGGGATAATGAGAATAAATCAGAATGAGACAGAAATTTTAATCTTAGCTCCAGAATTTCAAAACTTATATAACAATGGGAAAATTAACTTTTCCATAGCCTCTCTTACCATGTGTAAAATGAGACCAGTAATAGCAAACACACCTCTCACATTGGGTACAGTAAAATATATTTTTATGTTAGCGATGGAGTGCTGAAGAACTCTACTGGGTAGACTTGCTTTAGTTTAGGAATCAGTATAAAGCAGGGAAGCCCGTGTTCTGTTAGGTCAACCTGCAGCCATAGCATTTTATGAGCCATGGGTGCCACAGAAGCCGAGATCATACTCTCACGTTAGTGTCATTCCATTACTTTGTTACGTAGTTGGGTTTTGCCTCTCTGACCTTGCTGGTGTCTTTGTGCTTGGCGGGTGTTTGTTTCCTCAGCTCCTCCACCATCTTGCAGGCCTTCCTGTACTATGAAATCAGCACTGTGCTACATTGTAGCATTTCACTGTATCTTTATTTTCTAAATGAATTAGGTTTTTCAGCCTTCCTCACTTTTCTGTTTGTTAACACTAGAACAGTAATTTACCAAAGAATTGTTAAAATAGTTTTTAAAATGTAACAATATCTAATATTAAAGTGAAAGTATAATAGTCATTAAAATAGATTCTGGATAGGAAAACAGAATCTGAAACAGGTAGTCCAAGAGACAGAATTTAATACTAAGAAATATTTGCAGAGTGGGAAGAGCGAGAAACAAGAATGTGAGGTAACTCAGAGATTAGCACTGCAGGAGACCTGAGCCTGTCCAGTAGGAATGGGAGCCGCAGAGGAGAAGGTCCCTGGCAGGACACCCACCTAGCGGTATCGTTCATGGTATGAGCCTGTCTGGAAACTAGGAGGCCCAAGAGCCTGGGAAATGTACTTTGTGGTAGCCAGGCTTCCTGGGTTGCAGAGCACGGGGAGGAGCGTGGCGCTGGATGAATATGAGAGCGGCCTGATAAGTGAGCAGATGAGTTATCTGCGCTGCCGTCAGAGGTTGTGAGAGCGGCCTGATGGGTGAGCAGGTCAGTTATCTGTGCTGCCGTCAGAGGTTGTGAGAGCGGCCTGATGGGTGAGCAGGTCAGTTATCTGTGCTGCCGTCAGAGGTTGTGAGAGCAGCCTGATGGGTGAGCAGGTCAGTTATCTGTGCTGCCGTCAGAGGTTGTGAGAGCGGCCTGATGGGTGAGCAGGTCAGTTATCTGCGCTGCTGTCAGAGGTTGTGATTCATAAACAGAGGCAGCATTCACACACCGTGCTGGTAAAAGTTGGCTGGTATTTTTTGTTTCCTGGCTGATTTAGGTTGGATTCTCCCAGAAGAGGGGCAGGCCCTGAGCTATACATTTGAGTGCAGTATTATGAGGAAACATGGGAAGCAGAAAACAAAATGCCGCTCCAGGCCTGGTTGTACAACCTGACTAATGGTTAAAAATGGTTCATTTACTCATTATTATTACATTCAAGTTAAAAGCAAAAATGTACTTTCTCTAAACCAGATTATATGTTGTCCTCAGGATAGAAAGGTAACTGTTACAAAACAAAACCAACAAAGAAACATGGGAAGCAGGAAGGGAAAAGAAAAGGGAGGAAGCGGAGGAGGGAAGTGACTTATGGTGAAGAAGGCCCAGTCTCTGCCTGGTCCAGAGGGGAGCTTTGGAGTATGCATGACTAGAGTTTCTCTTATCCAAACCGCATCCCACCAGCCTTTGGGTACCACCGAGTAGGGCAGTTCTGTGAGGTTTGCCACTGGGAGCCTGCAGCGGGGCAGTGCTCAGACTTAGAAGTCAGACACACAGCACAGGTGCCAAGCTCTGGAGGGCACAGCAGGCACAGGCATAGCCACAGTGGTGCAGGACAGGAGTCAGAAGTCCAGCATGTAGTCCACTAGCTTGCCAACTCGAAGGGGACATGATTCTTGATTATTTCTTTTTAACTTAGAGTTCTAAGAATCTGAAATTTTATATAAAAGGTGAATTCATCAAAAAAAAAGCAGAGTTTTAGTATGTCACCCTGGAAAGAGTGCTATGGCGTCACAGCTCACAGCAACCTCAAACTCCCGGGCTTAAGTGATTCTCTTGCCTCAGCCTCCCACATAGCTGGGACTACAGGCACCCGCCACAATACCTGGCTATTTTTTTTGTTGTTGCAGTTGTCACTGTTCAGATGGCCTGGGCTGGGTTTGAACCTACCAGCCTGGGTGTGTGTGGCTGGCACCCTATCCACTGAGCTGTGGGTGCTGCCTGTGTGAATCTTTTTATATGTCACTTGCAGTGTTAAAATTTTATATATTTATTCTAAATTTTATACCTCCTACATAGTAAATTCCCATTTTAAATATTTCCTACCTTACCTTGCAAGTTTTTATTTCCTTTATAAATTGACTTAATTTAAGTAGTGTCCTGATACCTGGTTTCTCATCATACATGTGTAACCAAAACTAGTTTTTTAATGTCTGGTCCTATTATCATTAGCTTTTTTGAGCTATTGGTTTTACCTGATTTGTCTTTAGCTAGTTAATGAAATCAGTTTCACTCTTGCCTGTAGTCTGGTGTCTTACTGTATATAGTTGTGAAAATCCTAATTAAATTTTCCTTTCTGAGTCATTACTGCTTTAAGTTCCCCTCTTCCTTGTCACCGCTCCTGTCGTTAGTTGCGAGTTCTATCCATGACACACCTGTAGCTCAGTATGACTGCTCAAGACACTTGTTTGTAACAGGTTTAGTTATAACATAACCAGTTTATTAAAGTTACATACAATGGGATTCTGCCTTCGTTTTTCCTTCTCATAGAAACAGCTCTGATCTTCTTTATTAAATACTTTGCTTTTTAATAATTAGCATGTGTAATTTAACTTTGACCCTCCTGCTTTTTTCCTTGCCTCCAAGTTTTCCTTCTAAATCAGGGGTTAAGTTTCATGTGCTTTTCATGTTTATGTGAATTCCTTAGATCCTCCAACTAATTGCAACGTAAAAACTATTTTTTGTCCTGTGTGTGCTTTAAACCCTGTGTTCTTGATATGTTCTCACTGCTTAACCTAATTACTTAATATCATTACCTTAATCTTTGTTGCTAATTACGGAGAGACCTTCACCTTGCAACAGGGGAAAATGAGGGGAAAGAACATTTAATCATATTGGAGCTAACATCTGACTAAATATTTAAATGTCAGCCAGCTTTTGGGCTTAATGTCAGCCAGCTTTTGGTCTTCTGAGATTTTAAATTCAATGGGTTTAAAGAGGTATTTGATACAAAATAGATTTTTAGAAGTATTTGACAAGACTTTATTAGAAGAAAATGTATTTGGAGATCATTTGCAATATTCTGTTTATTAGTTGAGTGGATGGTAATGGGAATGGTACTTAGAGCAGTGTGATATTTGTCTCCCATTCATCATTTACAGAGTGCTTTACACACAGACTCTCTCACTTCCTCATCACATCCTCTCTGTGTACTAAGCTTAGTGGTGTACAGACTGAGCATCCATCCCTTATCCAAAATGCTCAGGACCAGAAGCGTTTCAGATTTTGGAATATTTGCATTTGTATAATGAGATGTGTTAGGGGTACAACCCAAGTTTAAACATGAAATTCATTTATATTTTATGTATACCTTATATACATAACATTATCCAACATTTTTTACTAATTTTGTATGTGAAATACAGTTTGTGTTAATAGGCAGTTTTTCACTATTTTCCACTTGTAGTGTCATGTCATCACGTAGTTTCAGATTTGGGAGCATTTTGGATTTTAGGTTTTCAAATGAAATGTATTCAACCTGTATATTACCCTCATCCCCCATTTTTGTATGTAGAAAGACCATGAGAGGTTAAGTGACTTGGTTGGGCTTACTAGTTAGGCAGTGGCAGAACAAAAGTTTATTGTCCATTGAACGCTCTCAGATTTTAGAAGTAAAAAGTTTTTTTTTTATTTTTAAAAAGGAAACCCAAGACCCCGGGCTGGTAATTTACAGTGCAGGGTCTGAGAAGTACTCTAGTTGTATTCTATTAGGCTGTGTTTGCACAGATAATTAAGCTGAAACTAATACTTGTGATATTTAAATACTTTAGTATCTTAAAAAATCTGAGGTACAATGCTGAGGTCCCTGTTAGCATGTCTGATTAGTGTAGCCGTGGCTGGCAGCTACAGCTCCCAGCCTGGACTGACGTGACGTGGAGTAACGCATAGCCCTCTCGGTTCCTTTCCAGCGCCAGCACTGGATGTCGATTGGCAGAGCAACAACACCTTTGCTTCTTGTAGTACAGACATGTGCATTCATGTCTGTAAGTTAGGACAAGACAGACCTATTAAAACATTCCAAGGACATACGGTAAGAAACCTTTTTTTCCCTTTAAGGTGGTTATGATAAACAGTGTTTCAAGATAGTTTTGAAATATGTATGCTGAATATGTAAACAGCAACCCAGTATATAAAATGAAAATGTGAATGAATAGTTTCTGTTATTTTTAGAATGAAGTAAATGCTATCAAGTGGGACCCAACTGGCAATCTCCTGGCCTCCTGTTCCGATGACATGACTTTGAAGGTAATTCAGTTAATGGGGAAAAATGGGATGGGCGGGTCATGCAGTGTGGCCACTTGGCTGTTTTAAGACCATTTAGAATGTCGGTTTTACATTGAATGTTTAAACCTGGGTAAGGACTTGTCCTACTTTTTAATGATTAGTCATTGCTTTTTATATATTGTGTTTTCTAAAAATATATAAAAGTACTTGAATATAGCAAGTAAATTTTATGAAAAGATGGCTATACAGCAGGAATTACTATACTTTATTAGTAAGGGATCTCCAAAGATACAGGAACAATAGATGGATGAGAGATTTATTGTGAGGAATTGGCTCACATGATTATGGAGGCTGAAAAGTCCTATAATCTGGATACCCAGGAAAGTTTCAGTACAGATCCAAGGCCAGAGAACTAGGAGTGGCAGCGGTTTAAGTCCGAGGCCTAGTGAAGAAGGCCAGAATCTTTGCACAGCTGCTAGAGGCTCACTTCCCCCACCTTTTTGTTCTGTTCACATCTTAAGGGGTCTGGGAGAGTCCAGCCACCATGGGGAGGGCAGTTTGCTTTACTCAGTCTGCTGATTTAAATGCTAATCTCATCTGGAAACATCCTCGTAGACACATCCAGAAATAATCTTTAAATATCTGGGTACTCCCTGAGTGAGTCAAGAAGACAGATACAATTAACCATCACACGTAATAAGAAGAATCATGTTAATAATTGCATTCACCATAACAAAGTGATATGTTGGTGAAATTAAAGTTTGTTTGCACATGTACATCCCACAGTTAGGGAAAAAAAGAATTTTGGGATAAAGAACAGGTATTACTCATCTCAAAATAGATGAAACCTTGAGCCTCTTCTGCAGTAGCTACCTCTGTCCTGAAATCAATTTTGTCCTTGACTTTGGCAGTACCAGCCTGATAGATATGAAGATCATGACAGAAAATGCTGCTTCTCTTGCCATAAACAAGCTGAATGTAACCTTGGGAACCTTGTGGGTGCTGTGTCTTCAGTTAGGTAGTTCTTAAGTCTGGGCTCCCTTGAAATCATTGCTAGTGAAATACTTTCCTTAATGCTTTTTGTCTTTTGGATTTTCCTTGCTTGCATATACATCAATGAAAATTCTCTTAGAACAGCATGTAGCACGTAAAGTAGAAATGAACCAAAGACGGCCAGAATGAGGATGTGAAAGAAGGCTAACATCCAGAGGGTCTGTGTCATGGCATAGGTGAAGTGAGAGAGAGAGGCTGGAACTGGAATTGTTAGAAAGCCTTTTCTCATCTTAGTAATTAAAGGTAACAGAGGATTGTAAAACAGAAACTATGTAGGTAGAAGAAGTATAATTAAACAGTTCTCTGAGATGAGAGAATACCAGATTGGAGTAAGAAGATGGCGTCAAGCTTGAACAGTGACTTTGAGTCATTCCAGAGGAGATAACAGGTGGATCTGATGCTCAGGAGAATTCTAAGCTTGAGGTAAAAACTTGGAAATTCTCAGCAGGTGAGTTGGGTAGCCATTGAAAGCCTTGGGCATGAATTAGATTGTGTAAATAGAAAGGAAAGAGAGAACCCCAAAAATTCAAGACTTAATCAGAAAAAAACTTGAATAGTCAAGACATTACTCAGAAATAAAAACAAAGCAGGAGGAATCACGCTACCAGACCTCAGACTATACTATAAATCCATAGTGATTAAAACAGCATGGTATTGGCACAGAAACAGAGAGGTAGATGTATGGAACAGAATAGAGAACCAAGAGAAGAACCAAGCTACTTACTGTTATATGATCTTTGACAAGCCAATTAAAAACATTGAGTGGGAAAAAGACTCCCTATTTAACAAATGGTGCTGGACGAACTGACTGGCAACCTGTAGAAGACTGAAATTGGACCCACACCTTTCACCACTAACTAAGATTGACTCTCACTGCATTAAAGATTTAAACTTAAGACATGAAACTATAAAAATACTAGAAGAAAGTGTAGGGAAAACACTTGAAGAAATTGGCCTGGGTGAAAATTTTATTAAGAGGACCCCCCAGGCAATTGAAGCAACATCAAAAATACACTACTGGGACCTTATCAAATTAAAAAGCTTCTGCATAGCCAAAAGCACAGTAAGTATAAAGCAAGCAGACAGCCCTCAGAATGGGAGAAGATATTTGCTGGTTATGTCTCTGACAAAGGTTTAATAGCCAGAATCCACAGAGAACTCAAATGTATTAGCAAGAAGAGAGCAAGTCAGTCCTCTCAGGTTGGGCAAGCGACTTGAAGAGAAACTTCTCTGAAGAAGACAGGCGCATGGCCTACAGATATATGAAAAAATGCTCACCATCCTAAATCATCAGAGAAATGCAAATCAAAACTACTTTGAGATATCATCCTACACCAGCAAGATTAACACATATCACAAAATCCCAAAATCACAGATGCTGGCATGGGTGTGGAGAAAAGGGAACACTTCTACATTGCTGGTGGGAATGCAAACTAATACGTTCCTTTTGGAAAGTGATATGGAGAACACTTAGAGAACTAAAAATAGACCTGCCATTTGATCCTATAATTCCTCTATTAAGTATATATCCAGAAGACCAAAAATCACACTACAATAAAGATATTTGTATCAGAATGTTCATTGCAGCCCAATTCATAATTGCTAGGTCATGGA